AGTCTTAGTAGTAGTAGTAGTACTAGTACTAGTACTAGTAGTAGTAGTAGTAGTAGCAGTAGTAGTAGTAGTAGCAGTAGTAGTAGTAGTAGTAGTAATAGTAGTAGTAATAGTAATAGTAGTAGTAATAGTAGTAGTAGTAGTAGTAGTAGTAAAAATAAGAGTACCAGTTATACCAATAGTAATACTCTTAGTAATGGTACTGGTAGTAGTAGTGGTTGTAGTAGTCGTCGTCTTAGTCGTAGTGGTGTTAGTAGTGGTGGTAATAGTAGTCCTCGTCGATGTACTAGTCGTAGTCGTAGTCGTCGCACTAGTGGCAGTAGTAGTAGTAGTAGTAGTAGTAGTGGTGGTGGTGGTGGTGGTGGTGGTGGTGGTGGTAGTCGTCGTCGTCGTAGTCGTAGTCGTAGTAGTAATGATAGTAGTAGTAGTAGTAGTAGTAGTATTAGTAGTAGTAGTGATAGTAGTAATAGTAGTAGTAGTAATAGTAGTAGTAGTAGTAGTAGTAGTAGTAGTAGTAGTAAAAGTGGTAGTGGTAGTAGTACTAGTAGTAGTCGTCGTCGTAGTAGTAGAAATAGAAGTAGAAGTAAAAGTAGATGTAAAAGTAGTACTAGTAGTAGTAGTAGTCGTCGTCGTCGTCGTCGTCGTAGTAGTAGTGGTAGTAGTGGTAGTAGTAGTAGCAGTCGTAGTAGTAGTAGTAGTAGGAGTAGTAGTAGAGTGGTAGTGGTAGTGGTAGTAGTAGTAGTAGTAGTAGTAGTAGTAGGTGTTAGTAGCAGTAGTGGTAGTGGTAGTAGTCGTCGTCGTCGTAGTAGTAGTAGTCGTCCTAGTAGTAGTAGTGGTAGTGGTAGTAGTAGTAGTAGTAGTAGTAGTAGTAGTAGTAGTAATAGTAGTAGTAGTAGTAGTAGTAATAGTGGTAGTAGTAGTAGTAGTAGTGGTAGTAGAAATAAGAGTAGAAGTAGCAGTAGCAGTAGCAGTAGCAGTAGTAGTAGTAGTAGTAGTAGTAATAGTATTATTGGTGGTGGTGGTGGTATTAATAGTACTAGTAGTAGTGGTGGTGGTAGTAGTAGTAGTAGTCGTAGCAGTAGTACTAGCAGTAGCAGTAGTCTTAGTAGTAGTAGTAGTAGTAGTAGTAGTAGTAGTAGTAGTAGTAGTAGTAGTAGTAGTAGTACTAGTAGTAGTAGTAGTGGTAGTAGTTGTTGTTGTAGTAGTCGTAGTAGTAGTAGTAGTAGTAGTAGTAGTAGTAGTAGAAGTATGGTAAAAAAATACTTGCAGCACTAACCATATGAGTAGTACAAATAACGCCAACGCTTCCACTAATGCCAGTCGTGCTGGTAGCATTGGCTCTAGTAGAGCAGTAGTTGCTGTGCAGGGGAAATATTCACACGTTGCAAGCGATGGGGTGGATGCAGGTGTCGGGTTGACCACGGTACCCGCTGAGACGGCGACCACACATACCACACTGCCATCTCAAACAATGCAAGTGGCTCTTGATCTGCTCAAACCGTTGTGGGCACTCGCCCGGGTGCGGGACAAGCCCTGGCCCGCCTCTGCACGGGACTGCTGGCTCGGCGAGCACAGGTCTTGGAACGGGCACGGGGGCACGTGGCTTGTGGGACGGTGGGGTCGGACATGGTCGGACCGACAAGTCGTCCCACGACATGGCCGGCCCATGCCGGCCCATTTTTCGGCTCCACGCGTAGAACCAACAACCGGCGGCGCTTAAAGGCTTAGACATGGTCGGAGCGACACCGTCTCCCCTATCGCTCGCACAAGCCAGCCACCTGCGACGAAGGCCGACAGCCGGTGAACGGCATACCCGGAGCTTCCAGGCGCCCCCCGCTGCACTGCAGCCCTGCGGACCAATTGTCGAAGCCCCGCGCTGGATCAGGTCCCACCTGGTCGAAGCAAACGGGCCCTGCCGCCTGCCCTTGCGGTGGCCGCGGACGTGAGGTAGCCGACCGGGCTCCCGTCGGCAAGCGGCAAAAGGTGCGAGCGAAAAACAAATCATTGTGCAGGCAATTCATGCTAGTCCCGCCAGTGTCAGTCGCGCACCTGGGCTTGTTAGACCCGCCAACCAGACACGACACGAAATGGGCGGGAAAAAGGTCCCCATGGACAACAAAATCGTTGTGTTGGCGGAAAAGATTGAAGTAATTCAATGCGACTCAACGCGATGGTCACAACCATAGCATGTCTGGCAGCCTAGCATCGCAACGTCCGGCCGCATGTTTTCCATCAGTGACGCCGTTTTTGGGAAGCATTCCGCGCACTACATTAAGTATGAGTATGGGGAAGCCCCAGAGCTCCGGAACTTTTTGGCCTCAGCACTCCACGGGCCTTGGAGAAGGACGCCGCGTACTTCATCTGTATTTTTCAAATAAAGCATTTGGAAGCTCCAGAGCTCGACTCGTCCTTGTAGTTGCAGTGGTGCTGTACTGTTGTCAGCCGTGGTGGTGGTGGTGGTGGTGGTGGTGGCAGCAGTAAAGATTTAAAGGATGTCCTGGTAGCAAGTAATACCCTCCCAAGTAATTTCGAAATCACAAGATTCGTGCTAGCGCGACAAGCATCGCAGTAATCGTTGTATTCGTCGTTGTCGTAGCGGCGGTGCAACTGCAAGAAAGCGTATGTATCGTAGTGTTACCAAGGCAACGGTCGCTCCAGGAGCTCGTACGCGGGGAACATACGTTAACCACTGTTGCGTAACGACGCGCCGTTCGGCGTCGACCGCTTCGCCGCAAGACCGTGTGGTCGGCGTCACAGGTCTGGGAAGCGTTCGTATCCGTGCGAACTGCGACAGCCAACAGCAAGTGCATGCCCGAAGAAATCCTTTGCAGCCGCCAAAATTTCAAATTGCTGCAATGAAGCTAGGCGAGGGATGATTCTGTTCGACTCATCTAAACATGAGTGTAAATGGACAAGCAGAAACATGGGAAATAAACACAAAATGAAAGTATGTGTATAATATATATATATATATATATATATGTATATATATATATATACACATATGTATGTGATTTGTAATATACACATACGCATCAGCCATTCCTTAAACAAATCGGGGCGGCAAACAAGTGGGTTGCCTTTGCAACCTTTTCCTGCTCGAGTTGCCGGGAGGTACGTGCTTGGTACGTGCGCACGCGATAGTGGGGCGGGCTGAAAGGGATGACGGCTGCACATGTACTATAGAGGCCTTAATAATTACCTATACTGTTGTAGGAACTCCTTATTAATTACTTATGCTTATAGTATAATGGGCCCCAAAACTCGGCGACGGAATGGCCATCCATGCACAATGTCTCTGTCGCACGCAAGGAAACACATCGCAGTCTGCACCGACACATGTTCATGCCATCCGTCTTGACACCTCGCACCGGTCCCTTCGCCGCATGTTGTGTGACCGAACGATGCGACCGATAGGTTAAGCGCACGTGCAACATAACATGCGCAATGGCACCTCCATGAACCTGTGTTCCCGACGGTAAGGTGCATGTTGGCAACATATGCTTGCGAGACTGTTGACGTGAATAGGCACGAATTGTCAGCGACTCGAACACCAATTGAAACACTGCTACTCGTCTGCTCTGCTAGTATGCTCCACACATCAGGTTTGCTGTGTGTTCCTTCAAAAAAGTATGCTCTGCTGCTGGCGTTCGGACACACGCAGTTCCCGGAAATGTTAAGGTGTATTGCATTTTGCCCACAAACGCAGATACAGATGCAACAAACATACATATTGCACACAATCCATGTGCGCATACATTTATACATGCTCACATTCAGAGATACATACATACATACATACATCCCTGCATACATATATACATGCATGCATATAGACTCACCCGCACATACACACATATGCATACACACGTAGTCATTGAAACATACATACATACGTACATACATACATACATATATATATATATATATATTTATATTTCTATTTATATTCATATCTATATATTGTAACAAACAAACAAAGAAACAAGCAAACATACACACAAACAAACAAAAAAACAAAAAAACATACATACATACATACATACATACATACAAACACACATACGTACATACATACATACATACACACATACATACATACATACACACATACATACATACATACATACATACGTTACTGCATACATTACATTACATTACACTACATACATACATACATACATACATACATACATAAAGATACATGCATACATGCTTATGTGAAACCCAGCTGAATTTGCGGTAAGAACGGAAGAATTGTGCATGGGATGCTTGTCTGTTGAAGCCCGAGGCCTCAGGCTCATGTCATTAATCATTATAAAGATTGAGCAGGACACTTCACGTGAAGATGCATGAACCGGATGAGCTGTGAGTTCCGTCGCGCGATGCGATTGCTGGACGGCTGACGGCATGGCGCCAAGGAAGACACGAAAAATGCACACAGTATGCACCAGCGCATGAACATTATGGGCTTATGTGTACGTAAATACATAGTTTCATATGTTAGGAGCAATGCTAAGCTGTCGGAAGCGATGCCGGCGGAATTGCTACTGACAATTTGCAGAATGGCATCGGGCTCTTTTCCGACCTTGCGGTCGATTGATTTCAAGCACAATGGCAGGGTCCCTCATCGCCCTATTCAAGCTCGGAAGAGGACGGGGGGGGGGGGGGGTTCGAGTGGCCGAGGGCAGCTTCTGGTCTAAAGGACTCTTCGGTTTAGGCTTTATAGGGTTTAGGCTCAAGTCGGGCCCCCTCCGAGGGCTGTAGGGCCATGTTGTGTTTTAGGTTATAGGGCCAAGTTCACTGGGGTGACATGTTCTTCACGTCACCCACACGGTGTGAATGCCCTTGACACTCGGATCGCTTTGGAGCACCGATCCAAGCCGCAAACTCCTAACTCGAAACCCAAAACCCTAAACTCGAAACCCAAAACCCTAAATCCTGAACCCCTCAAAACGCAGCTCGACACTCTCTCTACCTTGAACCCAGACGAAGTGCCTTCAGAATCGGACGAAGGCCATCGACGCGCAGTTCCTGCTGAAACTCAACACACAAAGCTCCTAAACCATAATAGAAATCCTAAACCCTAAACAAATCCTACACATAAACCAAGCCTAACCCCTAAACCCTACAATAGAAATCCTAAACCCTAAACAAATCCTACACATAAACCAAGCCTAACCCCTAAACCCTACAATAGAAATCCTAAACCCTAGACAAATCCTACACATAAACCAAGCCTAAGCCCCAAAACAGAATAGAAATCCTAGCCTGAAAGGAGCCCCTGCCAGCTCTCCTGGGCATGTGCATCGAAGGCATCCTCGGCTGATCAGACCCAACATCTGCTCCGCATGCACAAGTGCCCGACTGGGGAAGAGCACCCATGTAAAGAAAAAACCATCAAGGTAGATATTAATATGACTATAGGCACCTCAAAATTAGGGGGTATAAGTAGTTAGAAGCTATATGCATAGTCACCCTTAGAGTAAGCTTACCATTTTGTACTTCAGCCGGTGCATCGCAAATTCTCTCATTTCATGGGGAGCCTGGTTTCTTCATTTCGTGGTCCGTAAGGAAGGCCTGGTTACTTCGCCAGCACCCTAGCTATCCACGTAATATAGAAACCCGAAAAATTCCTGATCTACTTGAGTTTCTGCTAAAAACAGGCTATGATATAATATACCCCAATTCCACATTCGAATTACTGAGGCCGCTACATTAAGATTTAGGCAGCAAGTCTTGGATCTGCTGGTGCCTGCCCCAGATAAGTGAGCTGTCGATAGTGCGCATCTGTGCTAGTCTCAACGCAACGTAATTATGCACGACAAATTTAGTGTTCAGGGTTTATACGTCTTAATGTAATTACTCATAGGCCCCATAGTAGTTCCTTTTTGGGGACTACCTTAATAATTCTAAAGATGAGCCCCCGAAGGGAACTACTATGGGGCTTGCGGTGATGATGCGTGACGAATCGGTGGTTCGCGGCTTTTCAAAACTTTACGACCACAGAAAGCCCATCGGGGCCAAGAGTCTGGCAGGAATGTCCTGTTGGGCTCAACTTTTTTGGGAGGGAGTGTTGTCTGCAACCTTGCCGGACCCAACAGCACTAGCACACAAAAATGCTCTTGTAGTCTCGCCCTGAGCACGGATTATGGAATCCCATGACAAGGCTGGGAAGGTTCACTCTCAGAGCTTCAGTAGACGAAGGAGGGGCTTGTGCAAATTGCAGCGGGGCATCTGAACCCAAGCAAACGTGTCCACGTCGTAGACTTCGACGGTGCGGACATCCTGCCGGCCATAGCTACCTGCAAAGAGGCTTCGAGTTCCAGATCTGACCGAAGAGTGTTGGCACTGAGGTACTGCCCATTCAATGATCTAAAATGTTGGCGTGCAGAGAGCATTGACCAACAACGAAAGTCAGACAAAAACAAGACTAGCAGAAGAGGAAGCCTTGGTTAATATCATCGATCCCCTCCGTAGCTTTGCACTGGCAGCTAGCACTCATCGGCTTCGCGAGATTTTTTCTGCCCTTTGGGCAGGCTCAATAAGACTGATGTATCCAGTGATGTGAAGCACGTGGCACATCTGCATAATTAATCAGCACAGGGGAAACCGAACAATCTACCCAGGGGCCCCATAGTAGTTCCTTCTGGGTTCATATTTAGAAACCCAGAATCCTACAAGGTAATCTCAAAAAGGAACTACTCTGGGGCCTATGGTTGCCACGAAGCAACCTCCGAGGGTGGCCGAGAAAGCCTGACATAGGGTGTTGGAGAAGACGAAAGGCTTGGCATGGGGTGCGCGAGCCGTGTATGCACATCTCTATATCGTCCATCCATCCATTGTTTTTCATCCATCCATCCATCCATCCATCCATCCATGCCTCCCTGCAGAAATCTATATAATACAGCACCATGCAATGCATAGAGCCCTTATCCAGAACCACCCGAAACGCAGCGGGGAAGAAACCAGGCGAACACAAATTTCCGATCCATTCCAGTGCAGTTGACATCTAAAAAGTCCCTAGACAACCCTTACACTCAACCCTTCAAGAAATCTCAAACTACTATTCAAAAATCACCTAAGTCCTTGAAAGATACCGCCCGCCCCCTCCGAAAAGCATAACCCTAAACCCTAAACCCTAAGCCTAAACCCTAGACCCTAAACCCTTTTCACGGCCTCCGCAAACCCAGAGCTGCCCCTCGAGGGCTGCAGCAGCGACACCGTGCCGCCGCTGAGGCATCGGCGCTAAGTCCTGACATTCAGGGGTTTGGTGAGGGCTTTAGGAGTTTAGGGTTTATGTGAGTTTAGGGCTTACGGTTATAGCCATGGGTTTATTAGGGCCTCGGGGTGTAGGGCTTCTAGGCGCTGATAGCCTTTAGGGTTTAGGGCGTAGTGACTGACGGTTGTAGGGGTTAAAGGTTTGGGGCTTCGCGCTTAGGATCTAGGGATCAAAACTATATAGTTAGGGGGCATTTAAAGATGACCCGTGTTAGAGGGCTTGTACTGTTGACGAGAAAGGCTTATAATAGCGAGATTTATATGTGCATACAAAAACTCATCTGCGCCAGCGTGTCCAAATAGTTTTCAGAGGGTATAGGGTTTGCAAGCGCTGAGTAGTTGGATTCACAGGGCTGTCATAGGTGTTACAGTATTATTTAAAGTTTAGCAGAGTTGGTATTGTCTCGGGGTTCAAGGGTTTATTGTTTTGGATGCCGAGCTTTCGGTGTGCGGGCTCAGACACTAAACCCTAAAACCGTTAGGTCCATAAGGCCCGGTGGTTTAGCACCCTTGCATTAAACCCTAAACCCTAAACCTTGAACCCTAAATCCCTAAATCCTTAAATCCTTAAACCCTAAACCCTAAACCTTAAACCCCAAACCCCTAAACCCTTAAATCCTTAAACCCTATAGCCCATAAGCCCTAAACGTTTGGAGCTTCATGGGGCTGCGCTTGGGGATACAAGGTCAGAGTCTGAAAGAGATGCCCCGGTTTAGGGTTTAGGGTTTAGGGTTTAGGGTTATCTAGGATCATGTCCAGGATGCCTTAAGGAGTCAGGCAGGCAATTCATAACATCCGGAAAAAAACAAATAAAAACCTGAAAGGAGCAGCCTTACAGCAGTCCTTCTACATCCTGTACTATAGGGGCCTTAATAATTAGAATAGGGTTTTGGGGGTATAGTTTACTACATTATAGTAGTAATAATAATGATAAATAATAATAATGATAATAATAGGAATAGTAATAATAATAATAATAATACTAATAATACTAATAATACTAATAATAATAATAATAATAATAATAATAATACTAATAATAATAATAATAAGGAACCTATATATCATAGGAGCCCTGAGCCCTCTGTGCTTCTGAAAGAGATTTTGGCGTCCTCCCAGTGGCCGAGATGGGGATCGAAACGCTCAACTGACCTCAGGACCTGCGCATAAGACCAGCGTGTCTTTGAAGGGCTCCTTTAAGGGAACTGTGAGGGCTAAGGGTTACTATAGGGGTACTATGAGATTTAGGGTTCGGGGTTTTAGGGTTCAGAGCTTCGGGTTAGGGTTCAGGATCAGGGTTTACCTGGGTTTAGTCCGGCTACAGAGCTTTGGACTCTAGGCGTCTAGCGCTCTTCGGGCTTTAGGGAAGGAGCGAGAGAGAGCCGGGTGGATTTCTGAAGCAGCCCTGCCATCGAAAACGATGAAACCACTAGAATAGGGTTTTGGGGGTATAGTTTACTACATTATAGTAGTAATAATAATGATAGCAATAAGAATAATAATAATGGTGCCTTGAATGCTGCTGAAGCACAACTTCCTTATAATATGCATTCGTCTTTTGATGGGGCTGCCACCTGCAAACGACAACACGATGGCCGATATGGCTACAGATCGGCTACACACACACAAGTTGCAAACAAGAATCGAAACACCCTGAAAATTGAAGGCCGACACATGTCTCACAAAGCTGCTGCTGTTACCGTCGGCAGCTGCCCTCCTCTGCAGAGTAGCTCAGCTCGGTATGCGCCATCTAAACCCTAAACCCTATACCCTTATAGAATCTCTATAGATCCCTTTAAAGGGGCCCTTAAAGGAACCCTTCTAACTAATCTGTTAGCACGCAGAACCAGGGGCCCTGCTTCGATTTTGCCTCTAATCTGCTCCAATCGAAGCCCTACGTTCCTTTGTGCAGCAGCCATAGATCGGAGTACCGGCCTCGCCTCTGCATGCCAAGGAAAATCAGGGTCCATAGGCTTCAGGGTTTAGGGAGAGTCACAGCACAGTGTAGCGAAGTTCGCACTGAAAGATATGCGCAGCAGGGTGCAACTTGTGAGCTCTGCAGGCTATTCCAATCATGTTGTGGACCAGGCGAACATGCGAATGTGTCAGACTAAGACAGACTAACCAGAGATGGCAGTGCAAGTAAGTCGACCTTTCAAGTCTCCGACGGGGTATGTTATACTATAAGTATAATAAGGAACCCCAATTAAAACCTTCGTCTAATTATTGAGGCCCCTACATTACATGCTCAAGTCCGACCAACCGAAATTGGCTCCCCCCCGCCCTCCCCCGCGGGCCTCGTTCTTCAAACGTCTCAGTTAACTGTGAAGTTTCAACCCTGAGCCCGAAGCCGCTTATGGCGCAAGGCCATGACAATTGACGGTAGCTGTAAGTACATACTTCTACATTTTTGCGGCATATGTTTCAAATCTCAGTAGAACATAGAACCCTCAGAAATTGTGTTACTACCTCTACGTTTAGTGGCGACGTGGGTGCTGGCTCACGGAACAGTCTGGCATGCAGAAGTGCGCCCGCTAGGACGGGTAGCTAGAGCTCATCATCGCTGGTCCTTGACCTCTACTAGACAGCTTGGTAATCTTTACACACTTTGTTCCTGTCATAGTGTTTACTCGTGTTGCAGGACGTGAGCACTATTGAGGGTAAAAGCCGACGATGACAAAAGTAGGTACTTCTTCGTGCGGCCTCTGGGTAGAGTGCACTTCTCAGGAACCTTAGGAACCATGCCAAGGCCCAGTCTTGAAGCAAGACGTTGCCTTGCTCGCGCGCTGTTGGAGGGTGCAAAGAGTCGGCGTCCGGAACTCTAAAGGCTAAGGGTTTGTTGCCTTAAACCCACCATAAAACTTTAAGCATTTGGAACTCTTAAGGCTAAGGGTTTACCGTAAACCCACCAAAACTTTAAGGACTTCTTTCGGGAAATCATAACAAGGAGCCCAAAAAAAAGTTCGGTTCTTGCATTTAGCTGGAGCACCCTGACCCCTGAAGCTTCAACCCCGAATCCCCTAAACCCTCTGTAGAGCAACCTCCTGCATGGCATGGATTAGCTGCACTTTGCAGACGAAGCCTCGATGACACGCCCTCCCGGGCCCGACTTGTGGGAACTCTGCAGGGCTTACTATAGGCGCTTGAAAGCGTTGTAGAATACGGTTCCTTTGAGGGTTGCCGATCACAATAAGGGCGTTGGCCAGTGGCAACATGATTCATGTTGCTGGATTTTGTAGTTAATGTGATGGTGTGTGGCAGGCTTTGAGTTGTTAATGCGGGCAATGACGACGAGAACAGGCGTTGCTTCAGGCGAGTGAAGGTGCAAGACACACGCGTTCGGAGGGAGTTGGTCATTCTTTCAACTTTTTCGTCACTGCAGCCCAAGTAGAACCTCAACCACGACAAACCCTAAGGCTCCAGTTACCCAAATAGTAGGTTCCTAACCGTATATTATGTACCCCAGTAACCTACTGATTTAAGTGAACGGGGCCGTAGACAAACATCATGAGGTCTCTGCCCGGATTCCTTGCCAAAACCCGAAAGCGCAGAAAGCCTGAACCCCTTAAGATAGGAGCCTTAATAATTCGAATATGGTTTTGGGGTATATTATACTACAATTATAACAAAGAGTACCCAAAACAGTATTGGTAATTGTTTGAGCTCCTACACTAGACCTAAGAGTAACCTAGGAATAAAAAGGGTGCCCTTTTTGGCTTAAAGGGTGATATAAAGGAACCTGAACCCTAAAAAAGGGAATAAGGGCTTACTCTGGGTCCTAGTATACTAAACTAACGCCACAACAAGGGGGGTTCACGAGGCTTCGACGGGCAGCAATCGAGCGCAAAGCGAACGACAGCAGAAGCTTTCGGTTCAGGGCTTTAGGGCTTTAGGGTTTAGGGTTTCAGGGCTTTAGGGTTTTAGGGTTCAGGGCTTTAGGGTTTTAGGGTTCAGGGCTTTAGGGTTTTAGGGTTCAGGGCTTTAGGGTTTTAGGGTTCAGGGCTTTAGGGTTTTAGGGTTTAGGGTTTCAGGGCTTTAGGGTTTTAGGGTTCAGGGCTTTAGGGTTTTAGGGTTCAGGGCTTTAGGGTTTTAGGGTTCAGGGCTTTAGGGTTTTAGGGTTCAGGGTTCAGGGCCTTAGGGTTTCGGGTTCAGGGCTTTAGGGTTTTAGGGTTCAGGGCTTTAGGGTTTTAGGGTTCAGGGCTTTAGGGGTTTAGGGTTTAGGGTTTTAGGGTTTTAGGGTTCAGGGCTTTAGGGTTCAGGGCTTTAGGGTTTAGGGTTCAGGGCTTTAGGGTCTTAGGGTTCAGGGCTTTAGGGTTTTAGGGTTCAGGGCTTTAGGGTTTTAGGGTTCAGGGCTTTAGGGTTTTAGGGTTCAGGGTTCAGGGCCTTAGGGTTTAGGGTTCAGGGCTTTAGGGTTTTAGGGTTCAGGGCTTTAGGGTTTTAGGGTTCAGGGCTTTAGGGTTTTAGGGTTTAGGGTTTTAGGGTTTTAGGGTTCAGGGCTTTAGGGTTCAGGGCTTTAGGGTTTAGGGTTCAGGGCTTTAGGGTCTTAGGGTTCAGGGCTTTAGGGTTTTAGGGTTCAGGGCTTTAGGGTTTTAGGGTTTAGGGTTTTAGGGTTTTAGGGTTTAGGGTTTAGGGAATCCTAGGGTTCGGGGTTCCTTTCAGAGTTCTTCGAGTACTCTATAAGAGTAGCTCTCAGGGTACAGTACCGGTACTGCAAGGGTGGAGGGTTTGGGGTAAAGGAGTTTAAGGATTATAGTCAGGGGTTTGGGGTTTGGGAGTGTTTCGGTGAACAGTTTAAGGGTTTTAAGGGTTTAGGGACTTCGCAGTTTATTGTTCCGTGCCCCAAGTGTTAACATACTGGTTTAGGATTTAGGAGTTTTTTTGTTGACCCTTTTCGATGCTAATTTAAGGCTTTCCTCCCAAGAAGGATTGAGCAGCACAGGTGGGCTCTCAGGGTTGTACATGTTCTCCGACACATAGTGACATGTCTTGCAAAGGATGATGCTCCAGTTGCCCAAGTAGAGGTTCCTAACAATATATGATGCAACCCAAGGACCACAGCATTCAGGCAAATGGAGCCCTATGGCACAGGATTTAAAGCTCGAGCTTGCCTGGCCAGCAGGGCTTAAAGTTTATAGTGGGTGGGTTTAGGGTTTAGGGGTTTAGGGCCTGGAAGTGGTGTCGTCCTGCGCACCGCTAGTTGGGTGGTATGATGAATGCGTTTTCTGCAGAGGTGTCTTTGACACCAAACGCTGTACACCTAAAGGCTCTGAGGGCCACCTGCTTCTGTGCACTGGTATATTGCATACAGCTTTAACAAAACAATATTATGCTATGATGGACTATACTCTAGTACATCTAATCATTTTCTCCATGACAGAGAGCCCTCTGAGCCTAAGGCTTGTGCCATGCGGCGCACTGGTACGTGCGCCAACCTGGCACAGCTACTGTCCGGAAGATCCGAAAGGACGGGGGCTTCGGACGCTGCTGGGATTAGGGTGCTTGGCAGCTGTCATTGGGGCATCTGGTAGCGATGGTAGTATAGTCGTAGGCGCAGGAGTAGGAGTAAAAGGAGGAGAAGGAGTAGGAGTATGAGTATAGGAGTAGGAGTATAGGAGCAGGAGTAAGAGTAGTAGGCGTGGCGTAGGCACAGGAGTAGAGGTAGGAGTAGTATTAGCAGCAGCAGCAGCAGCAGCAGCAGCATGAGCATTAGCATTAGCATTAGCATTAGCATTAGCAGTAGCAGTAGCAGTAGCAGTAGCAGCAGTCGCAGTACAAGTCGTAGATAGTCGTAGTAGTCGTCGTAGTAGTAGCAATAAGTAGGAGGTAAGTAGGTAGGTAAGTAGGAAGGTTCGTAGGCAGGTATGTACGTAGGTCAGTAGGTAGGTAAGTAGGTTGGCAAGAAGGTAGGCAAGTAGGTAGGCCAGTAGGTAGGCATGTAGGTAGGTAACTACCTGAGGTAAGTAGTCAAGCGAGTAGCTAGGTAACCAGGTAAGTAAGTAGATTAGTGAGAGGATAAGTAAGTAGGTAACTGAGGAAAGGAGTACATTAGTTAAAGTCGGTAGAAATTAGTAGTCGACGCGCAGGCGTAGCCGTAGCCGTGGTAGTAGTCGTCGTCGTTGTTGTAACAGTAGCAATAGCGGCAGCACTAGAAGCAGTAGCA